GAAATCATACTATATTTGATACTTGGAATAATTATTCGGTCTATGATGCATTTTAATAATTAACATCGATAAGTATTTGGAATTATTTATTGGAAAATTATTTATATGAAAATTTTTAATTTGAAAAAATTCTTGTTTCGTTAAATTCTGAATGATTTGAGAGTGTACGGTAAAATTTTGCGATCATTTTTGAAACATTGTTTATAAAGAATAATTTATAATTTCATTTATTTGGAGCAGAGACCAAATGAAGTAATAAAAATCTATATTGTGAAAGTTATATATGTATATACCGTATAAATATTCAAATGCCAAACTGCTAATATTATAGAAAATTAACAATATTAACAAATCTATTGCCAAACAATTTGTACAACTATAATTTTATAAATTTTCATACTTTTATTTTCCTTTTTTTATTTTATTTTCCAATGAGATTCATCTTCATTTTTTGTGATACATGACTTAAATAATAATTCCAAGAATTAGAGGATAAAGGAAGAAGAGAAAAAGATATATAAACCTATACAATTTTTATTGGAAGTATTACATTCAACCAGCACAGACGAAGAGCTGAATATACTCACATGGTGCATACACCAATACACACTTACATGAGAAACACATGATACACAGGAACATAGACATATATATTATATGAGAATTAAGAAAAGAAAAAAAAAAAAAAGATTAATAAGAAACGTTGTATAATGTTTTATCGTCGCTAAGAATAAATCGACGTAGTTTCGCGAATTATTAGCGTGTAATTAAAAGATTAAAAGAGGAACCGTATAAATATTTGTCGAGCCACTTCTCGTCCAGGAATAATTAATTAATTAACTCGATTCGATCAAGTATCTATAAATACTTATTCAAGTATTACGAAATCTCTTTATAAAAATGTTTTTGATTCTTAAACATTAACAAATGTATTTCCAAATGTATTTCATTCTTTTTTTTTTTTCTTGGAAAATGAATTTTATTGAAAAATAAACTTTTAATATAATTTCGAATTCGAAATGAATAAATTATAAACAGCGATATTAGAATATTGCGAAAAATACTTTTTCTTCGAACAAATTTAAAACGTAAAGAATATGTCAGAGACTTCTAAATGTATGCAAAATACGAGAAATAATATTCTTAAAACTTGATGATCAATCGGGAGAAGGACGAAAAGTGGCTTAGTGTGAATTCTTTTGTTAACGTTTCAAGAGAATACCGCCCACGTTACTAAAAAAAAAAAAAACAGTGAGAAAGAGAGGGAGAGAGAGATAGAGAGAGAAAGAGAGAGAGAAAGAGAGAGGTCGAAGAGGTTAGAGGAGCGTAAAACGGTAGGGGTAGCTCTACAGTGAAAAGTTCGGGACCGAATAAAAAAAAAAAAAAGAAGAAGAAAAGGGGGAGAAGTTGTCGAAGCATCAATATATCAAACTGTCGAGTACGTTGTAAAATTAATTGAAAAAAAAAAAAATCTAGAGCTGTGCGGCAATGGAGGGGAGGACATTGAATAAAATGCTTCTCGATCCAACAGTATTTCTTTTATCCTCCGATCTCGTTCACTTGCCACGCTTTAAAAAAAGAAAAAAAAAAAAAAAAAAAAAAGAATATAAACGAAAGGAAAATACTTCGAATACTTGAATTCTGTCGACCTATTCGAATAAAAATTATTAATAATGAAAATCGAGTCCGTTTTGAATTTAAATTTGCGAACAAAGAAATAAAATGTATACTATTATCTTTCGAAATTGAAATTGATCTCATTTTGATTGATTTATTCAAAGAATCAAGAAATTAAATTCGTTTAAATGCAATTTACAAAATGCAAATAAAAATTATTTTTAGTTTTAATGGTCGTTCATTTTTTTTTTTTTTTTAATGAATAATATTATATACAAATGGATTTCTATTTTACATAGAAAATGCAAAGTGTTTAAACGATATAATTTAACAAAGCTATTAAAACAAGAAGAATAAGTATTACATATCAAGATTGAAATTATTTTTATAGCTTTGTTAAATTATTTATTACTTCTCAATACGAGAATGGAAATAGGATCCATTCCCTGATTAAATAAATAATTCTCGATTAAACGAAAATATTCGACGTTCGATGGGATTCGAAGTAAAGGATAAAAAAAAAAATAACAATAAATAAAAAAAGAGAAAATTAGAAATATAATTGAAGAGGGGTGGAAAGTGAAGGGTGAGGGAGGTGGTGTTTAAAAAAAAAAAAAAAAATCGCTAATCAGATTTAATCGCACGTGAACGTGCAGTTTTAGGACGAATATGTTATATATAAATATGAATATTATAAAAATATATATATATAAAATATATATATTAATATTTAGATTTATATTATATGTATAAGGGGATGTTGACGTATATTGCGATAATGGTAACGGCGGGGTGCGAAAACGAGTGACACAGGGGACATTCGCGTCATTTTATTACTATTATTATTATTATTCATTAACGTTACGATTATTAGTATAAGTTTATAATAAATTTTCCGTTAAATATTATTAATTATTATCTTCTTAATGTATCGATTATAGCGATCGAAAATTTTAACCCTCGTTATTACTGAGGTTTTTATTATTAAACGCCACAAATTATTAATTGATCATTAAGCTCGATGATCATTATGGTTAATTATAACGGTTAAGACTTGGATAGAACCGAGGTTTATTAGGATCAAGATCTATCGATCGCGTTTAACGGTGTTTTTCAGTATTAATCGAGGTTAGTGTGTTCCAGGGACGGAAATTCGGTTCAACCCTTTTGTTCTTCATATTGTTTCACAATCTTTTGATAGTTGATTGAAAAATTATTTTATTATAGGAATAAAAATATTAAAGAAAAAAATAGTTTTCTCTAATTTCGTTTAAACAATTAACTCTCTGTAATTAAAATTTACGAGTAAGTTAATTATAAATATAAACAATTAAAAGTTTAGTTCCGATATATATATAACTATATAACAAAGTAAAAATTAATATATTGACAGGCAATGAAAATAATTATAGAGGGTTAATTTTCAAAAGTGAGTCGAAATTCGAATATTGTGCATAATACATTTAAAAAAAAAAAAAAAAGGGTTGTTCTGAACGTTTCAAATAAT